GTAGGAAAACTGAAAAAAAACACATGCTCAGAAAAGACCCAACAAGACTTTAAGCTTTTGCCTCTACCATGTCCAGCTAAATAGTGAATGACTTCTCTGACACAAAGCCTGTCTACAATGACTGGAAGAAACTGTTGTTTTCCAGATACCTTATTTTTAATAAAATAAAATCACCTTTTGGTGAATTAAAAGCAGAGATTCAAACAGATAGTTGTACACTTTTATTCGTAATAGCATTATTCACAATAGTCAAAAATTAGAAACAACTCATTGTCCTTCAGTGGATGAATGGATAAATAAAATATGTAGCATAAAATAGAACACTATGCAAATTTTAGATACTAAATGAGCTCATCCAAGGGTATGGATAAATGTGAGAAAAGCAAACAGAAGGTTAGTGACAGGACCCTGGAGAACACTAGCATACAGGAAATCAGGCAGAGGAGAGAAACCTACAAAGAAAATGGAAAGAAGAAGCCAAAAAAGAAAAAAAAAATGAAGGCAAATCAGGAACCAGAGAGTAAAGCAGGTTATAGCACTGAACTCCTTTAAGAGGTTGAGAAAAATATCGTTTAAAGTATCCATTGGGGCTGGGAATGTAGCTAAGTAGTACAGTACTTGTCTAACATGCCCAGTGCCTTGGGTTCCATCTCCAGCATCAAAAACAAAAATAGTGCGTTGGATGTAGCCATAAGATGCCTATTGGTGACCTGAGTAGGGCAGTTTCTATAAAGCTTTTCAGGTAGAAACCAGCCTGCAGAATTAATGGAAGGTGAAAATGTAGACAGATTATAGGCAGTTCTTAAAACATTTGTTTGTAAAATAGAGGAGAAAAGGCAGGATGTGGAGGGGAAAATTGGGTCAAGGAAGAAAAGAGAAGTTGAGAAGGCTCAGGTCTGGGCTCCAACCATCAGAAATGACCATACAAAGCATGTCCAAACACACACTTTTGGTGTGCCAGAGTCCTTTGGTTGAGAAATGGCTGCAGAGGCAGCAGTTGATCTACCTCTGGGGAATACATTGGAAAAGTATAGGGAGTTCACTGAATTAAAAAAAAAAAAAAGAAAAGAAAATTTAGCCATGCTGGAAATGTGAATAACAGGAACCGTTTTACAATCCTGCCAGGGCGCCACCACTGGAATTAATGGGCTCCATCTGTTTTCATGGTTTTTTTTTTTTTTTTTTTTAATCACTTTGCTCATCATTGAAATTCTAATCAACCTTTCTTGGGCCACATGTCCCTTGCTTGAGAGTTGGAGGAGGTGCAGAGCTCCTTAATATTGCCTAATTGTATTCTGAGAAGAAAAGGTAATTCCTTTTCCAGGAAGTCAGTGTGCTGGGCCCTCAGAAAGAAACACAATAGAACAAGAGTGCAGAAAAATCAGACACTGGAGCAAATCAGAGAGAGAACACAAATCTTGTTTTCCAGTCCCCTTTGGCACCCAGTGACTCAGAGCACTCAACCTAGAGTGCAGGGAAAGTCGACTCCCACGGGGTGAACCATTAGCCACTGGAAGGGAAGAGCCAGAGGACAGATCCTCCTACCCTCATCCCCAATAACCCTGAAATACATTTCCTTCGGCTTTGCAGATGGTTCTGTGAGACTGAATAACCAGTCACCAGTTGACGTGGCTTACTTGGTATGACCTCCAATTGGCTTTCCCTCCTACCCTGCTTTGCCCCCCATCCTCACTTCTGCTTCTTCCATAAAGTACCAATGCATAAGCCTTTGTCTCTTCTTCTACTTTCTAGGGACACAGGCCAAAGTAGAGGCAAGGATGATTAGGAACAGAAGGGTGGGGTGGGGTGGGGTAGGGTTAGGGTGCAACATGAAATAGCTTGTCAGAGTAAGCCTGGAGGAGGATGAGACTTGAGCAAAGAGTTGAAGGAGGTCAGATGGTGAGCCAGGTGAATTTCCGGAGGAAAAAAACCAATCCAGGTAGAGGGAACAAGAAAAAAAAAGGACCAAGACAGAAGTTTGCCTAGGACATCTGGGAACAGTAAGAAGCCAGTGGTGCTGCAAAAGTGATGGGGGAGAAGGTTGAAGGGTGTCAGCAAAATGGATGAAGCCATGCCATGGTTAGCCTCATGGCTTTTACAGAGCAGCAAAAAAAGCAGAAGAATGGCAGGACCTGACCTAGGTAAAAGGGTTGCTCCAATTGCAGTGCTGGAAAACAGATATAGCTCTCCCTTATGGGATTCCTCTTGTGAGAACTAAACTGGAAAATAAAAAAAATACAAATCTTCTTGGAGAAGTTTTAAAAGATCTTCTTTAAAAGGCAGAGCTATAAAAGATAGATCCCCCTGCCACTGGGGTGTTCAAAAAGAGTCTAGATAACTTGTCATTGGGAAGTATATAAAAGCAATGGGCTAGTATAGGATGGTACTAGGAAGGACAGCAGGAAGTTTTAAACCTAAAACAGAGCACTTGAGACCCAGAGAGAAAAGAGCAGCTCAAATTCATTCACAGGGGAATCAGTCCAAAAATAAAGCAGAACCCACAGCTCCCTATACCCAAGTGTATAACCCCATGCTACCATCTGAAACTAACAAACTCTGTCCTCCCAAATGTTTTGACTTAAATACTTTATTTAGTATATATGAGTACAGGATCTAGGAAAAATAAGTGGTGAAGTGAAAAAAGAGTCCAACTATTATCTGGGGGATAAGGATCTTGCTGGAGACAGCCTAGCTCATTTGTTCATTTACTCATTCAACAAATTTTTACTGAGCATTTGTTATGTGCTCAATAGAAGTGCATAAAATACACGGAACATAGAGTCTGTGCTTCTTGGAGCTTACATTCTAGCAGGGAGTATAACTATAGGAGAGTAATTACAACAGAGTTTGTAACTACAACAGCAAAGGTGGCAGAACTCAGTAATGGAGACTCTAGGAGCAGAAAAAGATCATTATAGCAGCAAATCTGCAGGCATGGGGGCGTGGGAGAGGAAGGGTCAAATTCCTGGGGCACAGGGTGGAGAGGGAGTAAGGTAACTGAAAAGAGGGAAAAAAAGCCATAGTCCTAGAGAATCCGGGTTCAGGTCATCAAGGAAGATCTCAAGGCTCAGCATTTACAAAACTGGTTGCAAAAGGAAACCCAACCTGGTTAGGAGACATTATCCTAACAGTACAGGTGGATGGCCTGGGAGCTCTACTGTAAGTCAGATACCTAGGCCCCACTCCCAGAAATTGTGACTCCATTGGTGTGGAGAAGAGGCTGAGCACTGACAGTTCTTTAAAAGCTTCCCAGGATTTCTAAAGTAATCAGGGCTGAGAATCAGAGCTGTGGTAAGCAGAGATTTCTGAAAGACAAGACTGCCCCTGGGTGCCCACTGTATCCAGAACCTAAATCAGGGCTTGCTAAAGAGGAGGTGCTCAGGATATGTGGACTGGAACAGGAGATGAATACTGTGCGAATGGAGTGAAGGAAGTTACTGCTGGTTACTAGTATTAGAGCAGGGGTAGGAGTAAGATTTACCTCATGCTGATCTCCTGCATTCCTCTCAACTATGGACAGGATTAACCCAGAATGGGAGCTAGTTGAAACCATATGTGGGGGCCCAGGAACAGGAGAAGGGAGATGAAAGGAGAGCCAATGGCCTATTATAGATCCGAGACAGTGTGAGGAATCTGAAGCATGCATTAATGACATCAAAGGCTGACTGAAGATATCCCACATTTGCTTAGGTATCCCATCTTTGTGCTAATGTCCCTCGTCTTTCCACCACTAAAGATGATGGTGACTTTCTACTAGAGAGGAAAGTAGTGGGGGGGAGGAGGGGAGGGAGTCAGGCTATTAAGAGAGGTGGGGTAGACCAGAACTCTCAAAAGTTTGGGGTGGCATCCCACTTCCTGCTTTCTGCTTCTTCCCACCAACACCCTTACAGGAAGTCTCCTCTCCTGTCACTCCAAACCATATTACATCCCATTTTAAAGTGATGCAAGAGTCTAAGCACTTCTCTAATGGACAAATCACTTCACATCTTTACTGGTCCCCTTTCTTGCTGAAGGTACCTCATTCCTGTAGCCTAGGAGGATAGCTGATATCTGGCAAGAGGTCTTATGCATAGTCATTGTGGAAAAGCCAGTCAACTGTAGTTTCAGCAAAACACCAGGAGGCCAGACCCCTGCCCCCTATGTTCTGGCAATTAGCACTGCTGAGAATTTGAACTCTGAAAACCCTCCCTTATAATGGGCAGTTATATGTGTTTCCCAGGGACTTTGTGCTTTGCTTCTAAAATTCTGTCTTTTAAACCTCCCATAAATTCTGTGCCAGTTCATATGCATTGAGTGGGAAGCCCACTCTGTAGGACTATACCCAAGCCACCATCTTTCAGTCCAGGCCAACTCCAGGATCTGCCTACATGGAGAGAAGCAGGAAGCTAGGAATCTGGGAATCAAACAAGGGACTCCATAACCCTAGAAGGAACAGAAAACCTGGTGCCTCCATCTCTCTCCCTTCGAGGGAAACCTCTTCTGGATGCATGAGTGAGGCCATGCAGCAGGCAGAGGTTAATTTAAGCTGCAGTTAAAACATGTGGAAATAATGAGTGGTAAGGGTGGAAGACTAATAAGAGCAAGGTCAAGTTCACTGCTTTGGAAAAGTTTTTGAGATCATCTAGTCCTATAATTTTCAAACTTGTTTTTAAAGTTGTTAAACCTTTTTTCATTTTAAAAAAATCTTACATGGAACTCCATCTAAGGTAGCACTGTTCTGATTGAAGCAAGAGGAGGAGGTACGAGTTGGGGATAGGCTGTTGGAGGAGAAGTCAGAAACACACTCACTCAGTCTACCTTCCAAATCCAAAAGTCCCTGAGGCACCTACCAGAACTTTGCAGCCCTAGACTTTCCTTTGAAAACACAGACCCTAAATTTTATAGATGGAAAAACTGGATAAATTGTCCAGGGTCCCCACTAAGTCAGTGACAGCATCAGTGCTAGAACTTAATCTCCCCTGTCCTCCTTGCCCCCAAGCCTCAGGCCCTCCAAGGGAATCTTAGAAGGAGCTACGGAAGGAGAACTGTAGGTAGATGATCAACAGCAGGACAGTAGCCCAAAACAAGCACCAAGGGATGGAGCAGAAGTTGCAGCCTGAGCCACCCTCAGCCTGCGGCTTGGTGGGGCTGGGAGCCCTGGAGAAGGTGTAGGTCGTCGCCTCCTCCTCCAGCAGCTTCTCGCTGGGCTTCCAGTGCACGATACCCTCCTGGCAGGCCTCGCAGAATTCGCCACGGTGTCGCCGGTTGTCCTGGCGGCTGGCAACGTGGATGCGGTACTGTCCACCACGCTCGCCATAGCACTGCTCGCGCAGGCTGGTGATGAGGTTGTCCACCAGGCTCTCGATGTTCTCCTCCAGCATGCTCGACTCGTCCAGATGCGCAGTGCCGCATTCATAGCACAGCTGCTTGAAGACGCGCATGCGCACCGAGCCCGCACGCTGGGCGCGGTCCAGGTACATGTGGAAGAGAATGACCACGTGGGGCGACTGCCAGGTATGCCAGCACCAGGAACAGTGGAACCTGCCGAGTGTGGAAGGGGAAAGAGAGAACCATGTGGAGGTGGTGAAAATAGGTCCAGGAACAGGGGGCTCATAGAGTGCCAACAGAGCATGCAGATGGGGGTAGTAAGTTGACAGTCCCATGGGTTTATTAGGTTTTCCAGGGAGATCGCTCAGCCTGCCTCCTTGCAAGTACCCCTGGGACTATAGCAGGCTCGTTGGGATTCGACCTGGCGTCTAGCAGTGCTTTGCCTCCCTGGTACTTTCCAGAGGCCTCGGATCCCTCCAGCCCAGTTTCTTCAGGCAGTGCTCCTGGGCCTTTCTGTCTGGGCATCATTCCTCATCTAAAAAATGTACTCAATGCAGTAGATGAATCCTTTCTGCCCAGATCACCTGGGAGCCTGATAGTGGAGCTGGCCCTCACTAACTAAGAAACACACAATCTGTCCGTACCTTCCTATCTGCCAACACTGTGACTCAAATCAGGAGAAAAGGGTCCCATCGTCACCAATCAGTCTCCAGGTCAGAACCAGAGTTAATGCATCCCAAAGTCTGGAAGTGGAGCAGTCTGTGTAACCCCCCAACACCCAAGGTTTTTCAGGCTGACTGAGGCCAGCTGGGTATCACAGGTCACCAGCCAGGTACCAGAGAACCACAAGCCCACTCAGCCCCACAAGACATCCAGGGTCCCTCCAGCAAATGGCATCCCCTCCTGGTGTCTGATTTAGGAGCTTCATACTTTCATTTTCATCTTTCCTCGTTTATTCACATCCTATGGAGACTGTTTTCCCCCTCTCACACAAGACCATAGAACTTGGATTTTTAAAATGTCAGTTCCTAATCCTTTGAGACAGAAAAAGAGAGCCACCCATGTACATTCACTGGCAGAGCCAGTGCCAAACACATTACAGGTGCCCAGTAATGTTTTTTGAATTTGATTGAATAGAAATGAGTTGATCTAACCAAGCCAAGCAGGCAGGCCTTGCTTCTAACCCCAACACGGCACCTCCTAACCTCCCCATCTCACATCCCAAAGGTAAGTCTTGATACTGTAAATCCCTAGACAAGGATGCTAGAAGGTTGTCTCAGATATTATTGTACACATAAATCACCTGGAACCTTCCAAAAATTCAGATTCTGATTCCGGTTAGAATGGGGCCCAAGAGTCTAGATGATGATGATGTTGGTGGTGATGATGCTCTCTGGACCACAAGGCAAAGAACCAGGCTAATTCTTCATTTTGTAAATGGGGAAAGCAAGGTCCAAGAAGGAAACTGAATTGTTCAAGAGCCATGGAGCTAACAGTAGAGCCAGTTTCTAGCATACCTTGTGTGTTAAATATTTTAAATCAAATCAAGCTGAAATAGGTGTAAACTGAACTACCCCAGGACCAGGGTGCAGGCCTCTTGACCTCCAATGGATCACAAACCCCCTTCTCTTGGTTTACAACTATTTTTCAGATTATTAAACTCTGGAAATATGCACTATGTCATAGCTTAAGACTAATTGGTATATTCTACCTCTTTATTTTCTAGATGGGGAGACTACCAAAAGAAATGTTACACAGGTGATCAGTAGAAGAGCTGGAATAAAGCTCATGTGTCCCAGCTCTCTGTCATGGACTCTGCCTCCTAGTCTACATCAACTTAACAGCAAGATTGAAGCTAAGCACTTGGGTTCTGTGTCCTTGTCTCTCCTTAACAGGTGCCCCACGGCTAGGGACTCAGGGGCTGCAGGCAGGTCCCCTACCCCTGAGCTACTCACCTTCCTGAGGCATGCAGTTCCAGGTACTGTTTCCAGCCAGGGGCCAATACATTGTGCTTGAGGTTGGGGTCTATGATGAGGTCCCAGCTGTCAGCTGGCTTCGCCTCTTCCATCTTCTCATAGAAGACTTTCTTCCATTCACCTGTGGTCACACTTTTACACATGTCCTCGTCAGTGGTGAGGGAGGGCAAACTCCACTTTAGTGAGAACACAGGGAATGAGGGCAGATGCAGGGCAGGGCAGCGTAGTCTCCACGGTCTAAAAATCCTCATCGACAGGACCAGGAGGAAGCAGGACCCAGCTCCCTCCTTTGTCCGCAGTGGAACCTGTTTCCAAGGCAACCAGGCAGGGTGCCAGGAGACAGAGCTTGGAGAAGAGGGAGTCTTGGAAAGGGAGTTTCAAGGCCCTGAACTGAGGCTGTGGAAGTAAGGTTGGTGGGTCTAAATGGTCCAGGACAGGATGGTGGGTCCTGAAAACAGGCTAAGCTTCAGACCATCTCATCCTGGCCTGCAAGAGGCATGAAGTGAGGACTTGAGAGCTGGCTCAGTTTCACCTGCTGCCCCCTGGAGACATCATCAGTATCTGGCTGCTATGGTAACCATGATGCCTCAGGGAACTATGGAGAAACAAGGAGTGGGAAGATGTAGACTTGTTAATAGATAGAGCAATAATAATACTCTGTCTGTGTACTCATATCCATCTTGTGACAGACACATTGCCATGTAAAAAAACATAACCCAAGGTCTCTTAAACCATAGTGACTATTGCCACTTTACAGAGCAGGAACCTGGGACTCAGTCTAAATATGGCAAGAGCTCCTATCCAAACCTTGCTGTCAACCCCATCCTACTTCATTCATTTATTTATTTCAAGCATGCTCGTGTGGCAGGCTGTATGCCAGGTGCTTGTAACTAGAAATGTACCCAATAACCATAACACAGTGGGATCCATGCAGTAAAGGTCACGCACTACAACAGCTACCTGTGCACAAAGGTGGAAACCACTGCATCCGCCAAGCAGGAACAGACAAGATGATTTCCAAGCTGATTATAGAAGAGTAAGGAAGAGTACTGTTCACAGGTACCTGAAAATTTTAATTATTTGTTCTTTAAAAATTCATGTGGCCTTATAGAAAATTATAAAATATAGGTGAAATAAAACAAAGTTAAGACTCTTCCATAATACTATGTTTCAATGTTAATATGCTATACACACCCTGCCTGCCATTCTTCTGTACATGCATATGCATGTGTATGTGTCTATGTGCACACATTCTACACACTGTACTGTGACCTTCTGGGGGGCAGTACTAGGAATTGAACTCAGGGCCTTTTGCCTAGTGCTCTACCACTTAAGCTGAGCATCCAGCTCTTTTTGCTTTAGTTTGTTTTTGATAGGGTCTCATGCTTCTGCCTAGGCTAACTTTGAGCTGTGATCCTCCTCTTTCCACCTCCTGAGTAGATGGGATTACAAGTGTATGCCACCATACGTAGTCCCCTATATTGTGACATATTTTTCAGAGTCTCATGTTCTACCAACTGAGTTATCCAGGTGTTCCAGTGACATATTTTTAAAATGACAATATATCATGAATAGCATTTTAAGTAATTAATATAATTCTCTAGTAGTATTTCCTATGTTACCTATATTCTGTTATATAGATTGGCACAATTTATATGGTCAATCCTGCCTTTGGGGACATTAAAGTTTTATTTTAATTTCTTATAATTGAACTCTTGCCACTGATGTGTCTAGATCTTATTGATGAAGCTTATGAACCTGCACTCCAAGGTCAGACAATGCTTCTTGCAGTCCAAAAACACATCTATCTCTTGACTCTACTTAGCAAAAGCTTGCAGCAGTTAACAGAATCTGGGCAGGATCTTCAAACAGTGTGAATTACCGACAGCCTGTAGATCCTGAAGTTTGGGAGGAAAAAAGAAGCAGCTAAAAATCCAATTTCCTCTCTGTAAGCAGAGACCATGTTCCAAGTGCTCCTCCTGCCATATCACAAATAGTGCCTTGATTTACACTATTTTAACCTCATTTGATTTATCCTGGCAATGGGATAATAAAGAAACCATGTCTGTAGTAATTAAATGCACAGGCTCTGGAATCATTTGCCTAGGTTTCTGTTTTGTTTTGTTTTGTTTTTAATTCCTTTACATCCTATAGGTAGCTATTCTAATGTATATAATGTGCATTCTTTGATTCCAGGAAAACATATGTGGATATTTTTGTGAGTATGTTTTTAATTTGCATGGTAATAGCACTTGCTAAGTAATTGGCATTATCTGTCCTAGGTATTTTAGATGTGTTAATTTATTTCATCCCAATTCCTTATAGATTAGAAATATCAACAGCAGCTCCATTGTTACAGATATGTGAGCTAGAACAGAGAACTTAAATAACTTGCCCAGGAGACAACAGTTAATAACTAGACAAACTGGGATATGAACTCATATGACTGTCCCCAAAACCCCTGCTTAAACCATTATGCTGTCCAGCTTGGAAGCTAGAACAGACTATCTGCTAACTAAACATGTATTTCTCCCTCCTTATCCTTCGATGTGACTATTCCAACGCCAAGAATTAGAGACTCTGTCAGCATATGGTTCACTAGACCATACTGAGACCAGAGCTGCCTAGGAAGAAGAAAGAGTCGCAGATGATCCTTCAGGCTTCCTGTTACTACTGGGGATTCTGCCCCCCATTACTGAATTTAAGGAAGCAACAGCATCCACAAACCCCTGATGCTCAGGGTAAATATTTTGAGCTGAAGGAGAGGTTTAACTTGAAATCTTACCAAAGAAAATACAGTACAGGAAATCATCTCTAGGTAGGCCAACCCTATGAGATTGTAATCATTTGATGCCTGTGCTTAGCTCAGTGGAAAGAGCACTACACTGGGAGTCAGCAGATACAAACATACATCTCAGCTCTTCCATTGACTGACTTTGTGACCTTGGGCAAGTCACTTCCCTTCTCTTGACCTTGGCTTGTGCAGGTGTTCAATGAAGAATTAGAACAGATGACAACTCTGAGGTTTCACCCCCCCTCCCAACCCAACTATAGCTGGGTTTCAAAGAGCTTTACACTTAGAAACCTGAATCCTTGGAGGACCGGAGATAGGATGCAAGCTACTGGGCAAAGTAGGAAAGCTTCTGAGGAGGTATCCAGGTAGTTTTCCCTGGGGCCTGCTACATAATTGCTTTGAGGAGGTGGCACTCCACTGAATTTGTACTGGTAACAGTAAGATGGACAGAAATTAAATCTAGAACTACTATGCATAATACCTCCTAAGTTCTTTGGGATACTTAAACTTTTAAGCCTTCAAGTCAGTATTCTTGCTCTTTAATTAAGGCAATCAGCCCTCAGATAAATACAGCTGACTTAACTGGCCTCAGAGGTGTGACAAGAGATATCTCAGGTGGCATCACCCATCAGGATGAGAATGCAAAATGGGAACCATCCCAGAAAATACCTGAAGCTGAGAAGAATTTATAACAAAAATTATTATCCAACACCCAGAATGAATCCTCTAGAACTATGTTGCCATTGTTGCTACAATAAACACTATGATGAAAAACACCAAGACAGAAAGTAAGAATCACCAAAGTTGTGTGTGTGTGTGTGTGTGTGTGTGTGTGTGTGTGTATGCATTTAGCCAGCTGATGCAATCCCCATTGGCACAAATTAAGTTTAATTTAGAATCTCGGCTTGCTATGCAGAGACCAATATAATACATCCTTCTATATAGCAGAGTGTTTTCTCTAATAAAAAATTTTTTCGACCAAGTTAAAAGAGCATTATGCTATTGCTATTTGTTCTCTGATGTCATAGAATCCAAATTTAGAAATTGCTAATCTAGACATCTTTAAGGTTACTGGCCTCACCCTGGTCAATTTCTTAAAGTATGTGGTATTTTAAATGCATAAAATAACTTAAAACTAATCTCCTACTAGAAAATAAAGCAATTAAAAGAAAGAAAACCACATCTCTTGTTATTTGGTTCAATATGGAATATTTTGTGAAGCTTAGTAGTCTACTATTGTTTATCAAAATTTTACAAAAATAAGCAATCACTCTTAAAATGATGTACTAATGGACTGGAGATGTGGCTCAAGTGGTAGAGCTCCTGTCTAACAAGCACGAGGCCTTGAGTTCAAACCTCAGTACCACCAAAAAAAAAGTGAACTGAGTTCATACCTCAGTCACACACACACAAAACAGATGCACTAATGAAAAGTTACTCTTAACCAGAGGCAGTTCCCTGTCCCAAAGTGGCATTTGGGGAGAGTGTGTTTTGGAGCTGGACCAATGACTAGAAGTTTCTACTGGCATTCACTGGCCAGGCACCAAGAATATAAATATGCCTGACAGTCCCACAACAAAGAATCTTCCTTCCCAGAATGTCCAACCCATGCTGAGCCAGAACAGTAAGTCTCTCCATGATCTGTTGACTTAATGGTACAAAGAGTTCAGATAGTAGTCTCAGCTTTCAAGTTCAAAGGAATCATGATTTTTCATCCCTAGTGGAAACACTCCTTCCTTGGGAACTAAGATCTATCTCTAAGTCAGCAAGCCCAAAATTGCAGGAACAAGAAAAAAAGTCACTCATATATCACTAGGGCTAATTTTGAGAGTACCACTCTCTTTTTCCCCCCCTTAAGCCTTGGCACTGGAAAAATAGCACCGTATCTTGGTTGCTAATTCCCAGCATATACCACATCCTAGAGAACATTATTCCAGCCTTGCAAGATACTGTCACCCAGCTGATTGAATAGCTGAGTCTTCCAAAGACCATCTTGTAGTTAAATCAAGTCAGCTGCTTCAGGGTTATGGGCTATATGGCAAAACTAATGAATCCTATGAGTTTCCCAGCCAGAAGCAATGCTATATGGAATATCACAATAGTAGATATGGTATTTTCTAACTCCACTCCTGAGTGCCCAAATGCCAACAGCAGAGATCAACACCCCAATCTTGATTCCACGGGGAGTCAGCCAACCACCTGGTGGCAGGTTGATTATATGAAACTATTTTCATCAGAGCAGGGAAGGGGATTTTTCACTAGAATAGACAATTACTGTGAATGTGAATTTTCTTTCCTTCTCTGCAACACTTCTGCTGTTAGTGGACTTTCTCAATGCCTTATTCACTATTATGGAATTTCTGCATTTGGGCCTCTGCACTTAGCTGCTTACGCTTCCTCATGACATGGTGGTTGATTTGTAAGAAAGGACATTCCAAGAGGAAGGCAATGGAAGTT